CTTGGAACGTAATAAATGAAGCAATGAATGCAAGTAATGTTTATTGATAACTCCTCTAATCCATATTATTTAATAAATAGAGATAAAAACTATAACATTTATAATTATTTACATTTAGTATATTTTAGGATTATATAATTAATCATGTTTATAGAAAAACTAATTATTGTGTACACTGGTTAGCTTATCAGTAGAGGAGTAAGGGTGTCAGCTTGCTTAGTTAGTAAACACTTTGATAGTTAAGCGTAAAAAAATAAACGTATTAAATTGATCGTTTAATCTAAACTTTATATTTTATTAAAAATATAATTGTCTACAACTCAATATTTAATCAAAATCATATTCAATATTGTATATAATTAAATTCACATTTTTATTGCAACATAAATATCTTAGAAGCTATACTCCTTTTGAACGCAGCATTCAAGTATGCGTCGAGCCATGACGTGTTGGAGGTGTCGAGCGCCGCCTACAGCTCGTGCACGACGAGCAACCCCATATCGACGAGCACCGGCGGCAACACCGTCGTCACGCTCAACAGCACCGGCTCCAGGTACTTCGTCTGCGGAATTCCCGGACACTGCGCTGGTGGCATGAAGCTCCAGATCGACGTCGCCTCCCCGACCTCAACACCTCCTCCTTCTCCCTCCTCCACCCCCCGCTCCCCCTGTTGCTCCCTCCCCGCGCTCGCCTTCTGCGCTTCCGCCGTCATCTTCGACCCCAGGCTCCGTCCCTCCGCCGTCTGCGCCCACAGTGTCACCGCCGACACCGAGCGGCGCTTGCCTGCAGGCGAAGAAGGCTACCCTCGGACTCGTTTCGGGAATCGTCATGCTGATGCTTGTGGCCCTGTGAGAGCCGATGACAATCGCTGTGATAGTCGATAATAGTAGACTCATTCTAATCTTACAAGCTAATTGAATCGAAGGGTGTGATAATCTGTCGCGATGTACCGTTCAGTACTATGATATTATTTTTCTATTTGGTTTTTTCCATGTTGAATATTAGGCCATATTATTTTTCATGATTTGATCGAATATCTAAGTCATAAACTTGATAATGAGTCTAAATCGTTGATTAAAAATACTTGGAGAATGATACGACGTGAGACTATGGTGAGATGTCAGAAGCATGACTTAGAAAACAAGTTTGCTTCCCGCACATTTCTAGTAATTTTTATTATATGCTATCTTTTCGGACACTTGTAATGATAGATAGAGGTCATAAGGAGATCCATTTGAGATTGGTCTCTTTCAACACTCTCTTTCAAACAACTCCAATCCATCATAATTAATATTTCTATCGGTAATTTTTTTTATTGACTGAAAATGATACGTGTACAACATCAACATAAAATTCTAAATATTTCTTCTTCTTCCTTGTGGAATATAGAGCCCTATAACCCAAAACCCAAGCGAAAATGTCAGATGTGGATCCTTATCTTAGATTCACAAATTGATTGACAGATCCAATATTCTTGCTCCTTATAAGGATAGAGTTTATAGCATGAACACTTTAAGGATAGATTTGTTTTTGGACCAATTTGATTGAATAAATCCATGGAAGAAATGTTTGCAATACTATCTGGTACACTACGAGCAGTATTTACTGATTCAATACACTAACTACACTAACAAGGTGATACATATTTAATACAAGGCTTGTATTGTTGGATAAATCCAACATAGGGAATGTACCACCGGACGATACAAATTAGTACAAGTTTGATCCAAAGATGACTTCTTTTTATTTCTGAAATTTTTTAAAGAATTTTCAAAACTTTATACGTACCAATATATCCAATGTCGAACCAAATGATATTGATTCGATCTCCCATCGATACAATACCCACAGACCTGGTCACAAAATTAAAAATTATCAGGCAAAACTTATTATTCACTCAATAAAGTATGACATCAAACACCAGCAGCCCCAACAAAACACATTAACAAACAATACATACGCACATAAAAAAAAAAAAGGAGAGAAGATATCCTAATGAACAGTTTGTGTAGATATGGAAGTGAAAATCAAACTCAGATACATCTTCCAAGTGTCTGTCACAGCAAACTTTATTGATAACATCAAAATTGAACTTTTTAAACCACTCGAGAAGCATAAAAATAAAAGATTTTGCATGTTTTGTGAAATATGTTTGACTCAATACATTTAAATATCAAAACATTCAACATTAAGAAGAAAACATATAAAGATGTTAAAGAGTTTCATTTTTTAATTCCAAATATTCAATCTTTGAGTTCTTTGTGTTTTAGCATCTACATTTTCTAATGAGAACTAGCACAGCTTTACTGTCCTAATTGGAGATCCACAAAGAACTATTGCAAGAGTTACCACGACAAGTAAATATAAGATGAGAAGCTACTTGCACTCGGTTTCACTTGCATAATGATTGGGATAGTAACTATATGATAATATTCACCAACCATTTTAATTTAGTGAATATAGAGACTAATCCAACTTGGTTTCATCATCCAGTAACTTCATCGAGAATCAAATACATGCTTGTGCGCTACAAAAGAGAACTTGAATATATACAACTAGCATACACAAGTAAACATTTTCAAACATGTTCTGAATATGAATGGTTTTGCACATGATGAAATGGATTTCATCTAACAGGTCTTCAAAAATTAGTCATTAGACAAGAACTACAGCATGTTTTACCTACTCTGTGAAGCTTGCTGGAGGAGGAATGAAACTGCTTTGATGCTGCAAACATCTATGATGGTAAGATCAAATACAATCGTATTACCACAAGTGTCATGCTTGATTCTGTATTGCTTGCTAAGACCACCACTTGCTTCCAAACTGCTAGGGTGACCAGGTGATAACAAATCATGAATTGTTTCATTATATATTTCCAGCATGGACACCAACGAAAGAAATTAAACCAACAAAAAGAATAAGCCAAGCAAATTGGTGAAAATGAAGATTAAGCAATAGGGCTGTCAAAACAATGTAAGAATTAAGCTTACCTGCATTTTATATTTCCAGCCTTGGCATTGTAATGATTGACTAGTTTGGAATATTTGCTCTAATGACCGAGGTATATGGCCTTTCTGTTCAGCATGCTCAGTATTGCCCATCATAGTATAAGTTTTACTGGAACCAGTTTGTCCATATGCAAATATGCACACCTACAATAGTTGACAACTTTCAGAATCTGCTACATACAAATTGTGAACCAACTTTAACCACATGATCGGTCTTTTAATAAAAGAAAAGAAACTGTATTTTCACAAAATAAAAAGAAACTATATTTTCACAAAATCATTGTATTTAAAAGTATAATTCTAGAACCAATATGACTATACGACAGAAAAAACATATTGGAAAAAGGGTCAAGAATCAGTAAACACAAGCAATGCAGTAAGACAACATTTGATTTTTACCAATGAAACTATATTAATAGTAATTGACATGAGTAAAGATACCAATGGACAAACAGAATTAATATATCAACTAAAGCACCTTATATCCACCGAGTGCACTCTGAACCAACTGTGAGATTTCTACAAATACATCTTCTTGTGAAGCTTCATTGAATACTTTATCAAAAGTGAAGGAATATTTCTGGGCTGTTCATGATTATATTGATCAATAAATAAAATTGTATAATCCATGATAAATATAATATTGAACAACAATGGGAATCCAGTATCCAATGCAAAGAAAATAAAAGAGCTCGTCATACCATTATGTGTCAAGTCAATGCCACGCCCAAGATATTCAAGGGATGTCGGATATGAAACAACATCATCTGTTCCACCCGAATCAGTATCAAGTAAAAGCAGGCGAACTCTATAAAATACTTGAATATTTCCTGTAAGTTCCTGTACAAAGGAGGCTTAGCACTACAAGAATTTAATGATATATTTGTCAAACAGAGTCGCATAGTTACCAGTATGGTATTATGCAGTTTTTTACGTAATTTCTCTGCTTCAATTATTTGAAGCTCTGCCTCTGCAAGACGATCTTGCAAATCAATAATAGTGTTTTTCTGCTTTTCATACTCTGTCATTGTCTTGATGGTTATTAAATCAGCTCTCTACAAAAGCAACAAAGATGTCAAAAACGTGGAAAAAAGATCTATGCATGATTTTTATGTATTACTCATCATTCTAAAGCCATCATAATTTACCTATTTACCTCACATTAAGGCTATGGAAGATAATATTATACAGCCACGCTATGACAATATTATTTGTAGAACTTTAATACCTTCAACTTCTCATTGGAAGCAGCAAGCTGATGCTGCAAAAGTTGTATTTTTTCTCTTTGGGAAGCACATGTCTCCTGAAAGCCATAAATCATAGTAATATCACACTAATGTATGAGCCTCATAATGCATGAGGATGTTACTTTATATGAAACAAACCTCAAGTGCAATAGTCTTTATGGTTATTTTATCCAAATTTTTTATTGATTTTGTAGTTAGTTCTGTATAGTTATCAAACTCTGAGGTCAACCTCTGCACTTGCACTGATAAATTATCACGACTATCTCGTATTTGTTGTAATTCACTTCTAAGACAACTGACTTCCTTTTTCAATTCTTCTTTCTGTTTCATGGCCTCTTGCTGAGAAGACTGAGATAGAAACCATATCATTAGAACTGAACTGATAACTGTATAACAACTAGAGAACAGCAATAATACAAACGATCACAAAACATGAAACCACCAAAAAATTAAGTAATGTGAAAAGGTTATCCTAACAACGATACTTGCAATGAAACATGAAGGACAATGATACATGTCAAGTGTGTACCTTATTAAATCAAACAAGATATTATTATTTGCAAATTCATTATTCTCTATAATTGGAACATGGCCGTGGAACCCTCCAAATGACCAATGAGAATGCACAACATAGCAAACAACATATCTCTTAATAAATCATCAAAAACAACCACCAGTTGCCACTCTACTCTTCCAACACCCTAGCCCATAACCGTAGATACAACTAGACTGGCACGGACCATGCCAACGCTTCATATAATTGTGAGCCCCACTCCTTATAATGACTAGGCAATTTACAAGGGCCACAGTATGAAAAAGGACCATCTTCCACAAGTAAAACGATTACAGACTCTGCCATCTCTCTCCTAAATGACACTATACTAAAGTTTTAAGCTTCCTAAAATTTCCACTTCAGGATTCTGCGCACCGAGTATATACCTTGTGATTCTTCTCTATTTTGGAAGGTTGGAATCCTAGCAATCACACCTCAAACCACTGTCATGATGTGTGTGATCCAACGATTTAAAAAGGCGCTCGCCTAGGTGCTCGGGCAAGGCGAGGCGAGGCCCGAGTGCCTCGCTAAACTTCCAGGCAGCGCGCTTCAAAGAGGCGCCGCCTAGGTGCTCGCCCAAGCCCAAGCGCTTGGCGCTTCGGGCGAGCGCTTGTGTTAAACCAGGCGACCGAACCAGGATTTTAGGTCTGGTTCGGTCTCCGGTGGCTAGTTGGTTCAATCAAACCAACTAAAATCGATATCAGCTGTCGCTACCCAACCCTAACCGGCTAACCCTGCTCGTTGCCGCTGTCGCTCCCGCACCCGCTACTCGCCGCTGTCGCTGCTCGCAACCGTTGCCGCTGTCGCCGCTCGCCACTCCTACTCCCGCTCCCGCTCCTGCTCCTGCTCCTGCTACCGCTACTGCTGCCTCCTTACACTCCCGCTGCCGCTGCCTCCTTACACTCCCGCTCCCGCTGCCACTGCCTCCTTACACTCCCGCTATTGTTGCCTCCTTACATTCCCACTCTCGCTGCCACTGCCTCCTTACACTCCCGCTGTCATTGCCGCTTCCTCTTTTCTCAGTCAGCACCCCCTTACACTCTTCCTTCTCCTTTTGTATACTGTTAATATTGTTAGGTTTATTTGAAATTATTAATTTTCAATACTGTTAATAGATTAATAATATATTCTTTTGATTTTAATACTGTTAATTTTTATTTATTTGAAATTATTGTTAGGTTTCAAGATAAATGGCAAGTGTACAGAGCAACTCAATAGAGTCTCCAATTTTCATTTATGATTTTGTATCATAGATTTTCTTAATTTAATAGCATATTTTTATTTAAAATTTTAAATAATTATATTTATTAATTATATTATATATTTTTATATTTTAGGGCCTCGCTTCGCTCGAGCGAGCGCCTAGCGCCTCTACAGTTTTTGAACCTTACCGTCTTTTGGCGCATAACGCTTTTTAAATCACTAGTGTGATCAAAGAAGGTAAGGCCAGGCTAACTCTAAAACTAATTCTGCAAGATGACTACAAGTGGCATCACAGCCTAGGATCTGTTGAGAACATTTTACAAAAGTATGTGCCAACTGCTTCGAGAAACAGACATTATATGTATCTAGTGGCTAAAAATGAACATAATATAATGTTACTCATGAGATTAAAGCAAGATAAGTTCCTACCTCTGTCCATGGCATAACAATGGGAGAAATTTATAGATGTACCATTATGATATATCATGCAGAATATAAAAGAATCACAAAAACAGTTGCGAAGACTCAGAAAATAAAATAAAATAAAAAGGACCTAGCAACTTAAGGAATATTGGCCTTTGTAAGTTATGGGTACTGAACACAATATTAAGATATGGCACTCAGCAGTAAAACAAGTTCTTGATCTCTAGAATGAACTAAAAAAGACTCAGATTAAATTAATAAATGAGAAGTAAAGGGGAACAAATCAAATACATGAAGCTAAAACTCCTTCTGTATCAAAAGAAAAAGTACATTTACAAAACAAACCTTAGAAGGGTCCAATTGATTTTTGAGTTAGTTTGCATGATCCCTTGCACTAGTCAGGCTTTCCATTATGGCACTTTTCTCCTTCTGCAACCTCAAGATTGTTTCACCATTTTTGTTGGCCTCATTCTAAAGATTACTGTTGTACTGTTGCAAACTGGTATTGTACTCCTGTAATCTCCTATTAGTTTCTTGTAGCAATTTCAACTGGAAAATTATACAAAAGAAGAGTTCATATTGGATAATCAAGGAACTGCATTATTTAAACCCATGGAATAAGGTACCTGGTCGCTCAAACGTTTATTCTCTTGGTTAACTCTTTGAAGGTCCAAGGACAGAGCATCTTGAGAATTCTCAACTGCAACCCTGGTTTGTCTTTCATTTTCGTAAGATTTAATAGCAACCTGCAGAACTTTGTAAGTTCCAATCAGGCACTGTCAAACTCATTTCGCTAATTTACTTAAAAATCTTCATTGCTCCCACCAATTTCTCAGTTTCTTCATTCACTAAATTCTCCTGCAAGGAAGAATTCTGGTCTTGAAGCTCCCTTATTGTTGCATCTAGTTCATCAATTTCAGCCCTCATCCGGGACTCTAGAAGATAAAACTCTACCAAGGCATCAATCAAGTCATAAGCATGGAAAACACACATGGGAATCACAAATCTGAATCAAAAGAATATGTTACTTTTTTTCCACCATGGGTATTTACCAATTTCTCTGTGCCTTTTCTCTTCAGATTCCAACATATTTCGAAGCTTCCCCTGCTCTGCCAAGTAGCCATCTTCCAGTTCCATATACCATCTAATGCAAATCCGGAACTTCTTAATGTATTCTATCATCTGTTCACTCTTCCCCTATACAATTGAAAGCAAAAAAAAAAAAAGGAATCACAAAAAATCAAAAATCAGTAAGAGAATAACTGAAATTACATCTGAGGGGAAAAAGTACCACAAAGATTTCACCTTAAAGTCATTCTTAGTCTTGACTTTCATCTTCTCAGCCAGAAGCCTCTCCACGTCCTCCCTAGAACTGAACTCAATCCCAGAGGCGCTCCCACCATCCGAGCCAGCAGCCGCCTGGTCGCCGGAATTGGGGCCGCCGTTGACGGAGGACAGCACTGACCGCGTCGTTCGTGGGTCGGTCGCGGGACCCACCATCTTCCCCATCACCCCGAACCTATGCCGCTTGTCGAGGGGCGCCTAGTCCAAATTCTCCTTCTTCTGCAAGAACCCAACAACAGATCGAACTAAAACACTAGAAAACAACCGATAGCGGGACAAGAGATCAGCGGCTCACATTGGAAGGGCTCCGAGGCGGGCCTGGAGGCTTGCCCTGGACGATCCGAGAGGTCATGGAAGGAAAATGTCGAGGGACGGTTGGATGAGGGGGTAAAATGGGATCAGGGTTATGGCTTTTTAAGGGCCGAGGGTGGGTCGGAGTGCAGCCAAAGGGAAGGCGATGGAGCGACGTGAGCCGCCACTGCGATGGGCAGAAAAGGAAGGAGGAGAGGGGGATTTGGAGATAAAAATGGCTCTTGTTTCACTCAATCTTCTTGAGCGCCAGTGCTAGGTTTTCCGTCCTTCCTAGTTCTTGATCTCAGAGAAAGACATGGAGGTGAAGCTGAAGAGGGCCAGGGGATTCGGCGTCGTTCGAAACATTTTGAATTGGGGACGGGGTGAGTGTTATGACGGAAATGCCCCGGACCGAAGCAGTGAATCCCTCGAAATGGAGGGTCAAGATTATTTACAGATATTTATTTCTTTTTATTGACACGATTTTCGATGCATAATCAGTAACATACAAGATTGAAGAGTTATAATTAGACCTTTTACGATTCTGTAGACTTAAAAATTTTATATTAAAATTTATATAATTATAAAAATAAAAATATTTAATTTTATTTACTCTAACTTTTATTGATTTTATTAATAAAAGATGCAGCACGTTATATCACGTACAAGAATAACATAAAAAATAATTGATAAAAAAATAATCTTAATATCTCTGATAATTCATTTGGTATCACTTTGCAATTACAATGACGAAAGGTGTGAGATAAAGGCCTTACATTCTACCGACACATATACAAAGCAACATTAGAGGAGGAAAAGGAGACAGAACGACGACGTGATGTGAGGCAAAGGGAGATAAGAAAATAAACAAAGACAATTAGTGTGCCAACGTAGATATAAAGCGACGTCGATGAAAATACAAGACGATGATGATCGATACAAATGCAAAACGATGAAAGGGACAAAAAGGATGAGGGATTGAAAAAATAAAGAAGGATGAGCACCACTCTGAATCGCATGCAGCGTCGATGCAAATATAAGGCGATGCAGAGAGGAAGTTGCAGATGCAGAGCAGAGCAACATTGCTCTGTATCTACGTTAGTGTGATCATCATCATCGTCCTCTTCTTTCTTTTCCTTTACTTCATCTCTCATCGTCGCTCTCGCTCATTTTTCTTCTTCTTCACCCACAAGAAGTCGTAGAAGTTCCTTAACTCCATCCTTAGGACTCTACTCAGCTTGTGTCTAAGGGCATCCCTACATCGTTCTCTTCGACCATAATCATAACAACCGCTCGTAATCTCTAGTGACATCATCATTTGCCACCATCATAAAAATCGGTTAAGAAAAAAAAAACATAATTGAGATATTAAAATTATTTTTTTTATCATTTTTATGTCATTTCTATATATGTTATGTTGTATCTTCCATAAGAAAAAATCGTTAAGATATTTCACTTTTATAAAATTAAATATTTTACTTTCATAAAATTAAATATTTTATTTTTATAATTATAAGAATACTAATATAAAATTTTAAATCTAAAAATTAGGATGCGAAAGAGGACTAGATGCCTAATAAGTAATTAGCCCTGCAAAGTCGAGTGGGGGAAGTATCCGAGGACCTTTGCACGACTAATCAAGCTATTCATGTATGCTGTTCGTGCACGGTGATAAGGCCGGACGCTGATGCGAATGGCTTCCCTTTCGATTCGCCATGGTCGCATCCTTCCCCGGCCTCCTCTCTCGCGGCGAGCTCCTCGACCTGCTTCACAACTCCACCACTGTCTCCCGAGTCCACCAAGTGCATGCCCAGCTGATCACCCGAGCCCTGTTCAGCGACCCGTTCGTCGCAAGCCGGCTCCTTTCCACCATCTGTGAGCTCTCCGCCCGCGTCCCTGCGTCTTATGCCGATCTCGTCTTCTCCCAGAGTCATCAGCCGACCACTTTCTCCTGGAACACCATCATCAGGTTCCATGTCCGGTCCTCAAACCCCAACAAGGCCGTTCTGCTCTTCGCTCGAATGCGTAAAGCTGGTGTCTTGACTGACCACTACACGTATCCGTTTGTCCTCAAGGCCTGTGCTTTGCTGGCTGGACTCGGAGAAGGTGCGGCGATTCATGGGGATGTACTGAAGAAAGGATTGGGGGAGGATCCGTTCGTGATGAATGGTTTGATCAGCTTGTATTGCAAGGGCGGAGAGATCGCGGCGGCCCGGAAGCTGTTCGATGGATCTCGGTCGAGGGATTTGGTATCCTGGAACTCGCTAATGGCTGGTTATGTCAGCTGTGGAGACACCGCAGAAGCGGGGAGGCTTTTCGATGCAATGCCGGAGAGAGATGCTTTCTCTTGGGCTATCTTAATCGATGGATACGGAAAGAAGGCCGGGGACGTCAGCCGTGCTCGTGACCTGTTCGATAAAATGCCCAACAAAGACCTAGTTTGCTGGAACTCCATGATTGATGGGTACGTGGGACTCGGCATGATGCTCGCTGCCAGAGAGCTGTTCGATGTAATGCCCGAAAGGAATGTCATATCGTGGAGCATCCTCATCGATGGCTACGTGAAACATGGGGATCCAAAGGAAGCTTTGGAGCTCTTCCAAAGTATGCTTGGTCAGGGTGTAAGGCCTGACGTAATCAGTGCAGTAGGTGCCATTTCAGCGTGTTCTCAGCTGGGTGCACTCGATCAAGGTCGATGGATACACTCCTACGTGAAGAAGCACAATATCTTATTAGATGTTGTTGTTGAAACTGCCCTGGTAGATATGTACATGAAATGTGGAAGCATAGACCTTGCCCGGTTGCTCTTCGACGAAATGCCTAGGAGGAGTGTGGTCACATGGAGCGTGATGATTGTAGGACTTGGCATGAATGGTTTTGGATGTGAAGCTGTGGAACTTTTCTACCAGATGGAAAGAAGAGGAGCAACGATGGATGATCTGACATTCCTCGGCGTTCTGACAGCTTGTACTCATGCCAGGTTGGTCTGTGAAGGACGTGAAATCTTCGACAGGATGAGGAGGGATTTCAGGGTTGAGCCAAAGGTCGAACACTATGGTTGCTTGGTGGATCTCCTCGGCCGTGCAGGACGGTTGCAGGAAGCTAGAGAAGTCATAGAAACGATGCCGGGGACTCCCACCTCAAGTTTGTGGGGTTCACTGCTCGCGGCCTGTCGAACACATCGATGCGTGGAGTTGGCTGAGGTTGCAGTCGAGAAGCTGAAGAAGCTGGGAGCAGATGATGGCGGGGTGTATGTCATTATGTCGAACATATATGCAGCAGAGGGAATGTGGAACCAAGTGTGGAAGATGAGGAAGTTGATGCGTGAAAGAGGGATGAAGAAGGAAACAGGAAGGAGTGTCATAGAGGTGGATGGCAGCATCCATGAGTTTGTTTATGGAGATAGCTCACATCCCTATAAAGAGGAAATATATGAAGTTCTTGGCAGTTGTCAAATGCAATGCCTTGAAAAGATGGTATCACTAATCTTCTGATTACTGCATGATACATTGAAGTATTTAACCACCGAACAAGTTTCATATAGCTAAACTCAAATAGTTATCTGACTGCTACCCCCTAAAAAATTAACGAAATAGGATTCATTTACTGATATGAAAAATATATGATGTGTTTGTTTGTGAAAATGCAAGTGGAGCTCAACTCCAGTAATTAATGTCCTCTCATGAACTTATCATGAATCCTTAAAAAGATGAAACTAGCATGATTATGAAGCTTTGTCATGCCATTCATGTCTATGATTACTCTTATCAGCCAAGATAGGGAGTATGTTTAAGGAATCAAGTAACTGCATGTTTTCAACCAAGATCTTCCCTGTATTCATGTATGTCAAGATTTCTCTCAGATCTGGCATATTAGATTTCCAACTCTGTGATCTCTGCTACTAAATGAATGTACCATATCCATGCATTCCAGTGTTCCACAGGTTCAGATTGAATCAAAAGCTCCTATAGGAATCCAGATCCATAGTAATCACTTCTCACTGTCTCCTTTCTATCTCACTCTCTGTGTTGCAGGATAGTACCTACCTACAACAAATAAATGCAACTAACCAAGTTTTGCTGGTTGGATGTGGTGAATTCCATGTTCAAAGTACCTATTTGTCTTGTCTTTTCTCTGTTTTGTGATTCTGATGTTGGTGTCCTGATCATGCCTGGTTTTTTGTTGCCTTGCCAATGCTCGTCTCTCTTTTCAATAGAAAACAATTGGAGGTGCCATTTTGATGCAGTGAGTCATTGGATTCTCTTGTGAAACCCACGATATGGGTTGATAGCATCCGTTCTAAGAGGAGGGAGGCAGACTTAATGGAATTATCTCTATGGATGGAAGGAAATCACCCTCTCCAGGTGGGATACAACGAATGGGCTGGTGGAAGTTGCCATAGTTGCTGGAGAGGGTGCATGAGGGAATAGATAAAGAAGGGTTAGAACGGAGAGGAAGGGAAGAAGATGCCTACTCTTTGGATCACACTGAAGAAATCTCTCCATAGCAAGTCTGGCAACTCTGATGTCCATGAACTAAAGGGCAGGAGCCATCTTGGCACCCTCTTGAGAAGGAAGAGATCCAGGTCTTGTTGCTCCAGATCCATAGCCGACCTCGGAGATGTCATCCATGGAGCCAGGAGGCAGATGGAGAAGCCAAACTGCAGCAGCCCAAGGTCTATTGGGAGCAGTGGGGTGCTGAACCCCATAGCCCATGAGGTGGTTCTTAGTGACACCAGATGTGAGCTCAAGATAGCTACTGGACCAGAGAGTTACCATGGGGGTGGTGGTGACGTGGGATCCACCTATGTGGGCACCCTCAGGCCTGGGACCCCGGGCCCTGAAGGAAGAAGCACCACAGCCCTAAGGAAGGTCACTTACATCTTTGCAGATAGACAGGGTTATTCTTCACTTTCTGATGCTGTTCTTGGCAATGCTGGTGCTGATCATGCTTCTTTGAAAGTCTGGCCTTCTACTGGTCATTCTAGTCCTTCACTCTGCCATAGCTGTAGGGAGCAGTTTGGCAGATGGGAGGATTTGGAGGCACATCATCTGTCCAAGCATGCAGGTAAACGAGGGTATTTTCTCTTCTCTCTTCCTGATCTTTCTGTGCTTCTCTCTCTTGACATTTTAGCATTTCTTCTTTTTGATGCTATCTGTAGATTCAAATTATATTGTGTTGTCTGTAAACTGAATAAATTTCTGAAATTGACATTCTTATTAGATCTCTCCAAATGTTTGACATCTTCAGCTCTACTATTGATAATCCTAGTTTGAATTATATTCTCTTTTAACATGATGCTGTAGTACTTGCCAATAGTTTCTCACTCTTTTCCTAGTTAAATGCTGATATATATACTTTGCAATATGGATTCATTGGTGTCCTCAATGTCCTAGCAGCTGTATGTGAAGACTCAAATACCAAGGATCTCTGCTATCTATTTCATTAATCTGTTACCACTCTATGCTTCTCCATTTGTTTTAGCAAATTTCAGGCTCAAAAAAATTCATTGGCCTGTGCTATCCTCTTCTAAGATCAGAAAGAGTTATTTATTCTTCAATTCAGCTTAAGTCACCATTTATGATGAAACATTTTTTAAAAAACACATATTTCTTAAGACCACCAGCATCAGCTACTAGCAATCAGAAAAATGAATTTATTACTTGACCTTATTCTTCCTATGTGAATTAGAAAAAGAAAATACTATTTGTCATTTCTTTTTGCTATTCTTTCTATGAAATGTTGTGTCTTATTGTTGTTTCCCCCTAATACCAGATTTTGCCAATCCTCATACCAACCTGTGATGACTATACCATTCTAGTAGCCAACATTTTGTTGTTCTATTGTCTAATTCTATCAGTTATAAAAGCATGCACAACTGTGTATCGTTTCCTACTAAAGATACTTTTTTAGCTTCACATATCAAATAAATCTAATTCTTTTCTCTGGCAGTTAGTGAACTACTGGAAGGAGACTCTTCTAGGAAGATAGTAGAAATTATATGCAAAGCAAGTTGGTCAAAGTTTGAGAGCAGTTGTGGACGGCTACAACGAGTCCTTAAGGTCCATAACATGCAAAAGACTCTCACCCAATCCGAAGAGTACTGAGAAATGGAAAAGACTAGAGCCAGCAAGCTTCCTAAAAAGCACCCGCGATGCTTGGCTGACGGAAATGAACTGTTAAGGTTCAATGGAACAACAATCTGTTGTTCTCTAGGTATACATGGTTCTTCAAACCTTTGCACATCAGATAAGTGCAGAATTTGCCACATTCTAAGGCATGGATTCTCCAGAAAGAAGGAAATGAAGGGACGGGTGGGAGTGTTCACAACTTCCACAAGTGGGAGAGCACTAGAATCAATTCAAGTTATTGAGGATCAACCTTCTATAAGAAAAGCCTTGCTGATATGTAGAGTAATTGCAGGGAGGGTTCACAAGCCAGTGGACAACTTACAGAATTTGGCTGGTCAGTATGCGTTTGATTCAGTGGCAGGAAAATTCGGTCCCCAAGCAAGTATCGAGGAGCTTTACCTTCTCGATGCAAGAGCTCTTCTACCATGTTTTGCGGTAATCTGTAAACGATGAAAAAATTTGAACTGTTACTACCTTTTGCGGCACTTCCGAGTCTATATCAAATGCATTTGACTACACATGCAGTATGATTGTTTTAAAGCATTGGATTTTCCTTGAAGAGGACTTATACATGTGATTTCTCAATTTGTCTGCTTTAACTCAATCTCTAAGATTTGTTAGTATCTAAATTGCAACTCTCCGCTCATCCCATAGCATCCCTCACTGTGTATGCCTTGGCCTCGACTTCCCCTACTTGTCAGATCTATAAGGCCTATTTAAAAGAATGATTGATGCCATCCTCGTCACAAAGATTATATGTCAACTACATGATTTTAGCTGCTTCCGATGACGCAAAAGGTCGAAAGATTATGTCAGATTTTCTATGCAACGAAGCAGAAATTCCCGTTACCTTTCTTCCAAAGAATTGCTACCTTTAGGTTTACAGACATGAACAGCAGACTCAATACCACTTTTCTGCAGAATTAACCTAAGAAATTTTGTTTGCTTCCACCATTTTGTTACATGAAACTCCAAGTTCAAAAATAGATAAGTAGCTAATGCACTTTTCTTGTCAATTTATTTTGGAACCCTCTATACAGCATGTGGTGCAATAATCTACCAATTAGCCAATTTAATCATAAGGAATAGGAAAATGTTATCTACTGAATGAGTCCACCTGAATAACAATGTTCTAAGAAATATGATTGGGTGTAATATCATAGCAATAATTCTGGCTGAAGTTGAAATGTTAGACCTCCAGTCCCTGGTGTTACCGTTGGGCCTTCGAATTCAAAGTTTTTGGCAAGCCTTTGAATGTGATGATATCAGTTTGTTTTGCACTCACAGTATAGCTTATTGTTTTGAGAATTGTTGCTTCCCTGAAGCTACTCTCTACTATTCATACTCCCCCCTTTCCATGGTGTGGCTAAGCAAATATGAGGAGATATTGATGCTATGGTGGTCTTTTGCCCTAAGCCTAGGAAGGTTGCAACCCTCGATTTGTTGACCTCAGGTTCTCAAAATCAGTATCCGGATGCAGATGATTTTGTTAGAGCCCATGCCTTACTTCGACAACCGTTCTCATGTTCTCAAAAACTTGCATCTTTTGTCATTCTTGCGCATAGATTTGGGGTAATTCTTCTATTGAGATCGTCGAACAGCCTAATTACTGCAGTACTTCCAAGATTCACGGAGAGAACGTGCTGAAGCGAACATCTTTGGAAAAGCAAGCACGCCCGCCCGCCAGCCGGCCATGATCAGACGGCACAAGGAAACAAGATCGATGAGACGACATCGGACCAAGGGGGAAGCAACAACGCGAAATCAAGAGGGAAGCGTGCCAAGAAATCCGATCGTACAGAAACATTGATTTCTTTCAAGGATCAGATTGGACGAGGGGTGGAGGAGATGTCACCTCTTCGGGGTGGAGTCCGCGCGCTTTCGCCGAGGGCAGAGAAGAGCAGCGATGATAAAGACGAGATCAGACAAACGTGGTTTAGCGGCAGTCGAACGATTCACGTCGTGCCTCTTTGCAACTGTTCATGGGCGTAGCACCTTTCTCCGACCCGGCGTCGCCTTGTGGCTGGAATTGGAAGCAGCAGCACTGTCGGCCTTCGTCCACAACGCTTTCTGGACACCAGAAGCAACTCTTAAAAAATTGATGCGACTCGATGGATCGTACCACCACTATGAATTGTTTAATAAAGATCGATCTGTGTAATCATTCTGAACATTTAATCATGATATTAAATAGAATGATACCATATTGCACTATAAAAAGACCTGAAGTATATGCTGTTTGAGACTTCAAAACTCCCACGATACTTAGGCATCTACTAGGCTGAATCTTATGGACCCAGGCATCAGACTAACACATCAGAGAAGTAGTAGCCGAATCTTATGGACCCAGAAATCTTATTAAAAACACAGGAGCTTTGTTAAAAACATCACGATACAATGATTCAACTCCGAGATCTCTTCCAACCGACATCACTTCACATGATAAAACATTGGTTGGTTCCAAATAAATATCCAACCATGGGATTTTTGAATTAACAAAAACAGCAACGATCTTAATGTCTAGCAGGCTGATAAAACATTATTCAGCGACGAACAAGAATAACACAGGTGCAGATAATTAAACAGTTAAATATCCAACAACCAGACTCTGAATTAACAAAAAACATTAATGATCTTAATGTCCAGCAGGCTGATAAACATCATACAGCTACGAACGCGAATAATAGGTGCAAAAAATTAAACAGTTGTTAATTTCAACGGCAGAATTCCAAGTTCGCTCATGCACATAGAAATGATGCATCAGACACTGCAGAACAGGCGTCATCCAATTACATGCTTGCTGCTGCCAACACACGCAAACTTCATACATCACATTACAGACAGTGATTCCTATGCGCTGGACAAGAGCAATTCTTGATAGAGCCAAAAACACAAAGAGGATGTCATCCAGTAATTCCAGCCCCTCGTATCAATGAGATTTGTACAAGTATGTTAGCACAACACCTCAGTAAACTAGGGAGAAAAACCAAACTTTTAAGAGAAATACTACATTAGTTAGACCAATGCTCTATTCACTAAATAATCAATACAAATTACAAACCCTGGGGAAACTGTACAAGCGGGGATATATGCTGCTTTTAACAAAAACCAAACTCCCGTGGCTAAAAGGGGGCGCACTATGTGAGAACCAAAGAATGTGGTCAATAATTACTCCAGAAACAGAGGACTTGGAGTGGCCTGTTTCAGCCTTCCCACGAGCCTTGGAACACTGATGGCCGAGTCTTGAGCCAATGCATCATCTCCTTGTCCAATGGACACTTATTAAGAACAGCGTCCAGCATTGGACTGCCAAAAAATTTTGGGTTGCTCTTGAATAGCCATATACGATCTTTGGGCCACGGCCTTTGGGGCTCTTTTTCCTGTTACAACAATTAGCATGTTTCACCATTAGAACAGATGTAGCAGATAATAGTTTAGCATTATAATCAAGGATTGGCAATGACATGGTGGCGCTAGGTATGTATGTCAATAGCTTTCAAGTATGGCATGGTACTGCAATGTGCCAATCAGGATGTGCAGACTGTCGCAGGCCAAAAATTGAACTAGGCATCACCTGCATTGGCATCACTATACATTTTCATCATGGCACGTGTGGATCCATAAGACCAGCACAATCCTTGTTTTGAGTTGTCAGCATTAGCACAATGGCAAAGCCCAGTGTTTAAAGTGTCAAATAACTTCACAGATCTATAGATGTCTACATGATTGCTAAACAAAGAAGAGGCAAGAGTAAGAGAATTTTCCTTCACTATAAAAGCTGCTAATTTGTAGCTACATTTTACAAACTATTGAGCCTTATCAAAATTATATAAAATATGTCAAGTCTGTCAACTAATTTTATTTCATGCAATCAATAGGATAAGCATCGATAATGAAGGACAGGTAAAACAATATGCCGCCAAAGACACTCACCATTCGTGACAACATAAATCTCATGGTTCTTGGACCATAGACATGTTCTCGCAACGGCTTCTGAGACTTCGCATAGAAGGATGAGATGTCAGGCGGTGACAAGCAACCCTTGCAAGCTCTAGCTAATCTACAATCTGGGTCTGCATTCATCTGGCTGTACCAATAGATCAACTGGCCTAAGCAATAATTCTCACCATAGGTTTTGCAGTACTCCTGGAAGCCTGACCCCATCTTATCAGCATACTTGGGACCCAAATCAAGAGGGCTGATGTAAACTGGGGGAGATTTAAAAGACTTGTACTCCTGCATGTTGTGCTTCAAATTGTCAAGATTGGCCCAAAAGAATAAATCGGTCATAAGTATTCTTAGTTTCCACTTGTAACCATTTGATGCACACTTACCCGGATCTCAAAAAAGACTTTTGTGTAGGCATATATGTGAATTAAGTCAGCAGCAGCATCATGCCGGCACTTGTAGGTACATGGAAGATTTCGCAACTCATCCCTCAACCTAGTAATAAATAAATAAAACTACATTGAGAACCTAAATACAAAATATATGAGAGAAAAATTGTACCAGGCAGGCACTAGGACTTACCATAATAATGACTTGCGGAGTTCAGTCTGAATGTTACTAGAACCAGATGGATCGTGGGCCTGAATCTTGGACTTGAGGTCACTAAGTAGATCTGCTTCCACATGTGGTGCCATGGAATGTAGCAGGTCCTCAACAAGGGAACCCTCCCCTTTCCACAGGACTGAAGCCACACCTTCTGCGGTAAGCTTCTCAACTGGAGGTGGAGCTTTCTTAGGGTCCCCAAACATGCACCTCATGACATACCTTACCTGTAGTATAGTCCAAACAGAGCAAAAGTATGTTGTAGGTCATCAGCGTAACGCATATATTGTAAAGCTAAATATTTGCCTATGTACAAGTAACAATGTCTCCAAGTAGATTTCTGCTGTGAGTACTTTATTTGTAATGGGCAGAAATACTGAATCCTTTTCATCACTCCATAGATAAGTTGATAAGCCAATAATTTTTTTCGGCATTTCGGAATATGGTTAACCAACATATTAACTAATCGATTACGATAAACTAGATCGGATTTTATAGTTTTTCTCTTATGCAGCACCTGACATCACATGGGCATGAAGGATGTTAAATAATTAGCCAGAACATGAGGAATCAGATTCAAAATGCATATGTAGACAAAACTTGAACATTTTACAAGTATAACCAGAAAAATGCATTTTACAATTTAAGAAAAAAATTCAGAGACTCTATCTGTGGTTTGTCCACCATAGTTGTTTTTTAGCCAACATATCACTTGGTCATGCATAGAGTGACACTAACTTGTTAGATAAAATGGGATAAGAGTAAGACCAAAACAACCAGCACTATAAACATCCGGTCAAGCATTCCCCCTTCCAGTAAAGGGTTGCAGAAAAATCTATCAAGAAAATACAAGAATCATACTACTAAACCGACGTCTACAGCTGGTGCCAAATTTCTTGAGAACCCAAATTCACACAAGAAAATGATTGCCATGGGACCTGAAAAAGTAAGTTGTGGTAGGAGTCTCTACCTCTTAGGTCATAGGCTAAACTCAAGCAACAAGCAATCATAGAATAACAAAAAAGAAAAAGAAATAAGTACAAGTCTTTGAAAAGAATTGCACAGGAACTATATGCCAGATGTAAAAGGGAAGTTTCACTAAGTAGAAAAGATCACCTTATCAAGAGTAAGTGCAATATTCTGAAGTCTTGCATTATAGACACCCTCAGCCTGACACATCCAAGAAAAAATTTGTGATTAGAGCAGATCAGACACAAATAAACAAGAGCATGAAAATTGGAGCTCAGCATGCACCTGAACCTCCGCATCATTCTTCTCGACCTCAAGACATATGTCTGAAAAGAATTTCCTCTTCTCCTCCAAATTATGCCTTAGAATTTCATCAGGCAGTTTTGTTCTCTCAAAATTAATAAACCTCACCTTCATTGATTCGAAAAATGAACATAAGACTAAAGACCAATTAGATATTGTGAGAAGCAATATGAAAAACATACAGCAAAAGTAACTACCAGATGAGCGGAGTAAGCAACGAGCCAATCAGGCAACCCAGCTAACAGACAAGTGCCCAGACCAGCCCTTCCTAGGTCAATATAATCATCTTGTGAAACAAAATTGGCTTCACAAGCCTCTAGTATTAGTTTATGACGGTCCAGTACTCCATGGCAATCCTTCAACACCTGATGCATGTACCCGGTCAGTGCAATCTCTTGCTTTCAGAAAAGATGATAGCCAATATTAATCAATGGAGCAGTTTCACTCAATAAATTGTTAAAATATTAATACGATTTTAGATGTATCAATAATTTTGCAACCAATGTTAATCAAGACATATATGCTGTATAACTATAAGTTCACTCACCCAAAGACTCGACCTCCAAACGATTGAATGCTTTCGTAAAACATAAGCATGTATTCAGTGGAAAAATGTACATCTTAGTTGGTTAAAACATATTTATCAGGAGTAGATGAAAGCACATGCAAGACAAATACTACAAAGGAAGTGAAGAATGAGGTAGGAGACTACACTACAAAAGTTAAGGGTTAAAGGCATGACAAATCTCTTGAGTGAAGAAAGACGATGACCATGGTTATCAAGCCATAAAAAGAGTGAAATTTGAGGGAGTTAGAAAATAGTATAAGGATGATGTTGACTAGAAGCCAAATGGCATATTTAAGAGGGGAAATAAACATAATCAAGGTCACACAACCCTTAATCAAAATATTAATTAACACTTCATTAAAAAACCTCTTACAATAGACTAACTAGAATCCCTTATACACCATATGTACTACAATTTGATTCTTCCTCTCTATCCGATCGATCTTCTTGTTGAAATCTTCTTTCCTTGATCAAACCTGGGCTGATTTCAGTACGACAAAAAATTGCAAACAGTTGGCAATCCTCTAGAAGTTTAATTCCATTAGTTCTCCAGAAAATCTGTAATTCAAAGTGATATATGACAATTTGAAAAATAGAAATTTGGCCAAGAACTCCACATAGACTTAAATATGAACCCAGAACTGACTCAAACCTGGAACTGAGCTACAGATGTTGACTAGAACTAAACCCAAACCATCACAACCTCAAACCAAGTCAAATCAGTCCAGGTTCATTGTATCTGGACACCTACCATAGATCAACAAAAAAATCATTCTGGATTCCAGGACAACAAAAAAATAGTAAACCAAGACTTTGACTCGCTAAATAAAATCTATAAACCAGAATTGCTCTAAAAACTATGGTTGTAAAACTAGTATATTCACAGCTTTTCTGGCCAGATTCAGTAACTGAAAAAGTACCATGACTACATACTGATAAATAGAAAGAGAAGATATGTATGTGAATGGTAAAAGAGGAACATTTAAATATATTTAACAGCAGGACACACTCTACCACACATACCTTCTCAAATGCTCCTTCTCCAGAAAGATTCAGATAGCTGCCTCTGCAAACTTGACTACCACATAAGCAAACTGATGCTTCATATTCTTCCTTACTCTGCACCAAAAAATAGATATAAATAAATGACATCCCATCTAGTTGAAGAGGATAAAATCTCTGCAGCATGATGCCAACCTCTGTCACAGAGTTGTAATCAAAAGTGATTTCTTCACCATAACCAATTGGTAGTAGAGAATATATTCCTATCTGGTATTGACCATCCACAGCGGTGACTCTGCTCCAAATAGAAATTGAAGATAACATTACTACAAGAATATGAATGTTCAGAGAAAAACTATATACACATAACTGAAACTGGTTTAAACAGAATGGAGTAATGAAATAATCCTATTAAAATCTCCATTTGGCCCCTCTAGTCAACCAACTCCAACAATGTGTAACATCAAGTAGTTGAATTTGTAACGGACTGAAAGGTGCCTAGAGAAAGGCACACATACAGCTCAAATACATTGGAGATGTATAACTCAGAAAGTTCTGTCAGCAATATGCTATCTTAATAACTACCAGTTCCTCAAACTATAAATTACATGTCATCATCTAAATTCCTGTATTGCCAATAAAAAAACTGCTTAATAAAGATTAAAAAAAAAACTGCAGTTCAATTGCCCATCAGAACATGTTCAATTGTAAAATCTAGTTAGGGATATTTATATCAATTTTCTTTATAAATGAAAGCTACTAAAACAAGCCAAAGTACATATACCCTAAATTTAATCAAGAGAAGCACTAATATATGGGCATGGGACCACAGCGTTCTTAAGATCTTATAAATCTCTCATCCTAGCTATTGTATAAACATTGTTCATTTAACAAGACTAAAATAAAAGATAATTTATTAGATACAAGCTCACTTAAACATCCAAGATCAGCTCTCCTGCTATGCATTGTCACATTCAACTAGTCTGGACATTTCCTAGAACAAAAGAACATGAAGAACCTTATGAAAAAGACCTTACTTTCTTACAAAAATGCAAAATGGAATTCACCATTAAATTAAAAGAAACTGTTGGGATATTCCCAACAAACCTTATACAATTTATCCATATGAACCTTCATTATGTAGAATGGCTCACTACTTATGAAAGTTATCAATATAGCATTCAGACATATATAAGCCAACTGGAGGAAAGTGCAAACAAGACAGAACTTACTTTGCTTCACAATTAGGCCTACAGGAGTGACAGATTCTGCTTGCATAATTTGCTTTGTGCATAGCATCAACAACAACCAAATCATACCCATCACTATCACCCTATTAATATTAAATAGCCAAGTCAGCTGTTTGAATGACAGGAACCAAGCGAGAATGAGGTGTGAAAAGTGTGTTAACCAAAGAAAGCACCTTTGGCCTCTCCAAATAAATGTTATAAAATTCAGGTGCTGGATCTTGACTATTTTTCTGTAAGGCCCTAATACCATCCTGCTTCTCAAACCATTTCCAAGCTGGATAGACCTGAAATATTAATGAAATTAAACATGTCAACCTGAGTAACAACATAGGTACAAATTCGTCACCCCAAAACTTCTTAGGAAGAAATTAAAACAAGATTAGTTTGTAAACGTTGATAAAAGCAAAAGCAAACATAAAAGGTATATGAAGGAAAACAGCTGGAGACCCCCTTGGAAAACTCCACACATTTTTTTCAACAAGCATTAAGTTCTGCATATACATTACTTACCTTAACTACAGTGAAATAGAGAATAACTAACATGGTTCGCCTTACTGGTCTATACCGGTATATTGATTAGATGTCGATATGATACGTATCGAGCTGTACCGAACTGTACCAAGCATACTGACACATGGTATATAAAGGTGTACCAATGTATCGCCCATACCGATCTCCTATCAGACCGGTATGTACCGCCCGTACCAAGCGATATACCACAGTACGGTGAACCTTGATAACTGCCAACTTTATCCTCCACAAAAAAAAAATGGCGTTCAAGGAAACTTCCAACAAAATGATTCTCCATGGCCATACAAGTTTTCCAACATATCTGAACCAACATATGACTGATCTTGGTGTGAATAGTGATAATGCCCTAAACAAGGCTCAATGGTGACAAAGAATCTATGTAGAGAGCCCCAAAGAAGATTGTTGTTGTAGTACTTGAACCTAAAAAAGAACAATGTAAATCTTTCCAGAAGCTCCATATTCAGCTTCCAACAGCTATAAGATAGGAATATTCAAGCACAGATTTAAGACTTTAGATCAAATAGGTATGTAAGATGACAATATGAGATGTTACTTCTCAATATAATAATCACATAAAACCTTTTGGTATAAGCTAAATATTCTTCAAGTATCCTGACATGGTAATTTAGCACAAAAACAGAAGACTATTACTGTGAACCATGAACAAACACAAACATATAAGCACGAAACACTATCAGACTAAAATGCACGAGTTACAGGCCAGCATTACAGCAATCTGAAAATTAACTAATGCCACATGAAAGGATTTGGAAGAATTATTGAAGACTCAAGTTGAAACAGCAACAGTTCCTGTGAAGGTTTCAAGTCCTGGATATCAGATCCATACCTGTGCCGGAATGATACAGGTCCGGTATGTATCGATGTAACAACCAAGGTATGCAATTTCGAACGGTACTGTCCGGTATGGGCGGTACATACCGGTCCAACAGTATACTAGTACGCGGACCGCCTGCTACCAGGCGGATCGTTTAAAAGCGCCCCGTATCGGACGATACAGGGTAATATCGGGCAGTAACGATCGAAATTTCGACCGTTACCGCCCGGCACAATTCGGTAACGGTCGATTTCGACCGTTACCGCACTGTAACAATGCTACAGTGCTCCAACGGTCAAATTGACCATTGGAGCCCTTTCTCATAGTATTTAAACCCTTCTTCTCCCCTATTTCACTCTATTACATTCTCATACTCTCTTAAACTATCTCAAACTCTTTTTTTCTCACATTTGTGCTCTCCTAAATTCTACAAAAGAACACTCCATTACATTTTTATACTCTCCTAGACTCTACAAACTTTTTTTTTCTCATATTTGTGCTCCTCTATTCAAATGATTTTTCTATAAATATTTCAATATTTACATAAGGACAATCTGTAATAGACTGAAAAACGAACCTTGCATAAGATATTCTTCAAAGCCCGAAAAAGATATGTGATACTATTCTTACCTAATTTACATTGATTTTGCTAAACTTATGATATTACTATATTTATTTCTAACTTAAAAACTCTATCCTAACTTTATTTTTATTTTCAAGTATTTTCGAAGGGTTCGTGTACCGCTCGATACGCCCTGGCATACCGCTCGGTACACGGTATCGTACCATAAGCCAACCTCGAAACATCTGTATGGTACGATATTGCATACCTTAATAATAACACATAGGAAGCCAGACGCTCAAGTGAAACAAAGATGGAAACGAGCTCGCAAGTTATGAGCCCTAGAAGGCATCGGGCCTTTAAAAGAAAACAACAACAAATCATCTACCATTAAGAAATAAAAGGGACCGGACAGCATCTCGGTTCATGCCTAGATCGGTGAGTACCAGTCGGTACAAAGCAGTCAAGAGGAAATTGAGTTTCCTATGTCAAGAATTACTAAGAAAAAAAGCATGTAAAAAGACTAAAGCAAACCATATGCTAATTTATCCATATAGTGACTTCAAATTTTGCTCCAGGACTGACCCAATTTTAGCTAATTTCTCTATCACCAAAAAAAGCAAGTGGAACAACCTACAGCATTAAGACAGTCATAGAACTGAATTGTAAGTTCCACATGAACCCCATCGGCCTATCCAATTGAAGAATGGGTGAGCTGATGAGGCAACACCAATTGTTGCTCTTTCATTTCCAAAAATCCAACTCAGGGCATCAAAGATGTGCATCAGCATGATAAAATATATTTTATCATATTTGTATCTTTCATTTTTTTTTCTAAATTTAAATTCTTAATCAACTTTTAGCCAATGCTAATTACGCCAACTTGCTTTGAAAATATAGTGCAGACAACGAATACCTGGTTACAAAACTATTGGAGATCTCATTTCAAAACACCCAAAAATCTCTACCTCAAGAGCTTTATATTCTTGTATTTCTGATGTGATATTTGATTATTTTCTACATCCTCTTCTCTTACATATAGCTTTGGTATTCTTCTGCATGTTTTGTATTTTTTCCTTATTTTCTTCCTCTTTTACAGCTTTCTTTATCATTTTCTTATTCCCCGCATGTTCTTTTTTCTATTCTGTTGTCACTCAATAAGAAAGGAGGATCGGGATTCACCACCAAAAGAACATATATCTACTCAGAAAACTACAAATTTCCAAGGAAAAGAAAATTGTAGAAAAAAAACAACTTATATATATCAACGAGTGTATGACAACAGAAGCAGATATTGTAAAAAAAAGAATCTAATTCAAACAATTTTGCTAATTAGTTGGAAAAATTTTACATAACATCAGGAAGCAATTCACCCAGGTAATTTGACTGCATGAAAGAAATCAACAGCCAATGCACAAATCCTAATAGTTCAGACAAAAATCTGATGACTGAAAAAGTTTTGAAGAGCTGAAAGAACTAGCTATCGCATTTAACAGAAGGTATACACGAGCAAAATGACTTAAGCATATCAAGAGAAATATAACCAACAAAATCAAACAACAGACTAATTTCAAACATTAAGAAAAAGGTAAAGATGACTGTTATAAAGTGGATTTAGATTGGAACAGCTAAACAGGTAAAATAGTTATCAACCACCTGCTTAATGATAGATAGGACAAATTGGTGAGAACAAAAAAGTATAAAGCATGAGATTGTATGTTATACTAGGATGACAGAAATATATAAATAATGTGTTAGATTAAAAAAAAATAAAGTTAACAAAGGATAATCCAGTTGACAAGCCAAATTACAATTAAACAAAATGGATTTATGATGATCACTTACTTTCCCAAAACCTAACATGAAACCTGAAGGATAAGGTCTAAGGGAGACAACAAATAGCAAATACATCTGAGATGGAACAACCCAGATTAGCATCATGTCACCAATAGTACTACTACTACATGTTCTTTTGTGCAGAAAAAAATAAAATGATTTGCAAAGGCAGAGACACAAGATGATATATACAAGTCTCTACCACCATGTATAAATGAAAAAATCACATAAGAAAATGGAACCATGTTACCTCTCCCAAAAACTCAACAACAAAATCATCTTGTTCGAAACCTTCTTGCTTGTTGCAGACAACTCCAAGCCCCTAATATAACATATGAAAGGAGCAAAATGAACTAAGGATAAACAAACCAAATTGGCTTAGACAATGTAAGTAGTTTGTGCAGTAAAAAAACATACCTTTCTGTAAGCAACATAATTATCGTCAGGGCGACTCCGCATAGCCTTTAGGATGCCCTGGCACATTTTGATAGCTTGTCTGTCAGCCACTTCCTCTGCATTCTTCAGCACTTCTTCAATAACGGGTTGCAAAGGATAAACCATTGGGGTATTACCGGTACCAGTAAAATGTCTGACTTGCTTATTCAATGTACGAAGAAACGACTGACAAAGAAAACTCATGTAAAATCTGAATGCAACAAAGCAATAACAAAAAAGAGGACAACAGAAAAACATAAAAAGGCAAACTCCAGCATACCTCTTCTATGAATTTATGTCTATCTGCAAGGGGCCAGTCTGGTTCCTCTGGCATAGAATCCAGGAGGAGATTATGTGTATAAGGGTCTATTCCATACACTTCTTGCTCTAAAACTTCAACACCAAGCTTCTTCCTAGGTTTGTAGTCCTTGACCTCAGGAATTTCCATGTCTGACTCCTCGATACCACTCTTTTGTGCTAACAATTTTTCAGAATAATCATCAGGTAAAGCAACTTGCATCTTCCTTTGTACTTCCTCCTCATCTGCTACAATAAGATACTTGTCAATGACCTCATACTTTCTGGTAACGGGAGGAACCAGGCTTGCTTTTGTCATGCGAGCACCCCATTCACGGTCATCTGTCACCACTGACTCTGAGGACTCATCCATTTCCCCTTTTAAGTCCCACATTCCACTTCCTGAATGAATTTCCAAGTCGCTTTCTGTATCAGAAGCAGTACTCTCATCTTCACCTCTGTCATCCTCAGAGAAATCATTTCCATCATCTTCAGATGTTTCACTATCAGAATCCATCTCTCTCTTTTTTAATTTAGAGAGACTCCTTTTAATTTCACGATCAAATGCATAGGCTCTATAATCTGTTCCTCCATTGGCATAAGATGTGTTGATACCCCTATTTATGCTCTTCTTTTCACTCAAAACTTTGCTTTGTTTCTTTTTATATTTAGATTCAGAAAAATATGATCCTGCTTCAGAACCGTCTTTTACTGCCTTAATCAATTCGTCTCCTTGAATAATCAACCTTGGGTTCTCCAATCTCTTCACCAGTTGAATGAAAGACATGATAATCTTCCTCCTATCTACAGCGTCACCCTGGCTTTTTGATCTGTAGAAGTATGCAAATTTTAGGTAAAAAATCAGTACAAAAATATAAAAGAAAAGCTCCAGAGGCACACATATGTAGCAACATGTTCTGTTAGCAACAGGATATCTACATTGACAAGAATCCCCTAGAGCTACTTTTAAAAGTGGGTGAAAATAAAATAGCAGAACTCCATAAACACAGTTCAACCGTCATTATAACTCATTAACAAATAATATGTTTCATTTCAAAGCCAAACATGTCATAAGAATCATTATCTTACTTAAACGCATCCCTGCACATTCGACTAATATCATCCTTGACAGAACTCAAGCCACGCCGAACATAATAACCACATCTCATCCTATCTTCGATTTTTGCAATCTGTAACATCAATTTAACATTAATGAGAACATATACAAGTCATTTTCACTAATAGCAGGTATTAAAAGTTTTATAATGAAAGACAAGAATTTAGGTAGTACTTTAGGCATAAAAAAATCAGACTTCTTTCCCTTCACAATGTCCTTCAAACTATTGGCAATAAACTCTTCCATCTTCTTATAACTGTTTTCAGACTTCCTGTGCAACCAATGCCGCATCTGTGCATCCCTTGACAGAAGTTCTGAGGACTTTCTAGCATCAAGTAACTTTGGTCGTTTGTAGAAGCCCTGCTTGAATTGGAGACTCGAAAAATCCTTCCTATCAATAGAATTCGACTCACTAATACCAAAATTTTCTAGATCGCCAGAATCATCTAGACAACCACTTAAGGACCTATAAGTTCTTGATATTAAGTAATTATTTTCTGTTATCTGCTTAAGGCTCCTTGTTTTTGAATAAGATTCCTCCTGATTTTTAGCTCCAAATGAACTTGATCTCTTTATCCAGTTTATATTTGGATATCTGAATTGTAATTCCTTAAATTGATTGCATCCTCTGATGTCGACATTAGCTATGTGCGGAAAGAGCTGAAGGATTCCTTCAAGAACACCAGCACTAACATTAAAGCACCCCTTTAAAACAAGAGACATAAGATTTTTCTTGCCATAACCACCCTGCAGAGCCAACTGAGATTAGTCACGTAACAAGCAAATAAATGTGTTAAGTGCAAGATACAAATGAAAATAAACCTACCATAAGACTTTGCAATACAGTATCAGTACATTTTGGTCCAACTGAGGACAAATCAACATGTCTGCATATACTCCTGTAGAAGTTAACTGACGCATTCCAGTGTTTACAAGTAGTAGCAGAGGAGAGAAGTGACTTCATATCACCTTTTAGAAAATGAAAGACCCTTGCTAGAATGTGACCATTCAACAGACCCCAGCTTCCATTCTCCGTCTGAGACGTAGCATTATCCTGAAAAATATCAGCCTCACCACATAAGTCTTCGAACGACCAATCATTCTTCTCATTGGATAGCAAAGCGTCTTCCATTTCAGAGTCCTCATCACTTTCATCAACAAGAAATCTTGATCTTTTTCCTTCACGATATATCCCATCCTCTGCATAAGGGCAGAAAACTAAGCATAAGAAATCAGAGAAACAGATATCACATATATATATATATATACATACATACATATATACATATATATATATACATATATACATACATATATATACATATATACATATATATATATATATATATATGAATTGCCCTCCTTAATATATGTCTGCATATTCATGTGTATTATTAGCTTATATACATATAAGTATATTTGCAAATGCTTATTGGTGATACCCCCTGAGATTATTCAAATGTGCAGTATCTTTTCACAGCCAAAATGAATGGGGCCTCGTTTCCTACACTAGTGATCAGTCTAAACTTTATGCTCAGGTGCATGTCAAACAATCATTCAGTACAAGCATTTCCAAGAAACTTCCTAGGTGGTAAAGGCATATAGAAAAGTGCAACAGAAGATGACAGCATGCTTTTCCATTAGAATGAAAACAAGAATCGAGAAACAAACCCGAGTTCCAGATATTGCTCACTGACAAATCGTGAGATAAAACAGCAGAGCTTTTTGTGATGGATGAGTTAAATGGAAAATGTTTATCCATTTCCTTCTTTGGTTGCTTCGCATTAATCCATGGATCCAAAACCTCACTTATAACAGCAGCAAACTCCCGGTTCTTATATGACCTCATGACAAGTTCATGTAGCTTTCCACGTGTATAGCCAATAAATTGAGGGTACAAGCTGTGAAATGAATGAGAAGCAGTACTCATGTTGTTACATGACAACTGCACAAGGGAAGATGAAGAAAATCTTGCAGTGGATGTCCTTGCTTCTTCTTCAGAGTTGACAGATTCAGAAGACTTCAATTTCATGGTAATGGGAAGCCAAGTATTATCATTCTTCCGGAAAACACTGCTCTGCTCTAGGATAGCACCTTTACCTACTAACTCTTGCAACTCCAAATATGATAATGGTCCATGTTCATAACCAGCACCATCTAAATAGAACCAATCGCCCAGATCTACAGATAATTCATCAATAGTGCATATATGATCCTTTGGAATATTGAGTATAGTCCGGCATCTTTGCAAACTCTGAAAGTCATGTTCATGGAGCTTCCTTGAACGAGAGGAACCTTCATGAAGAGAATTCCTGTCACTACTAGAGTGAGACCTTGAAGATTTTGAAACATGCCGCTCACTGGTTTTGACTTTCATATGAGGTTCTATAGAACCTTGATCTTTCACAACACATGCATTAATCCGGACCACAGGTAGAATCGTACCCTTCACACCCCTAAGGGACAATGGCTTGGTTTGTGCTGATCTGCTAGCAACAGCACTTTTGCTTGGATCACTGGTGCTATCAGTATTATCATCTATTGACGAGAAAGCCCAAAGGGGCAGATCAAGCCTTTTGCTGTGGGAAGGATAGTAAAGATCATCTTTCCTGTGCCAACGGGGATCCTCGTGCCCAGATTTTGACATTTGACAAAGAGGATAGCTTTCATTGATGACAAGTTTCCGTCTATAAGATTTATCTTGACCAACCTCATCATTTCTCTTCCAGTCGCCACCTTTGCAAGACCACCTGCCAACAAACCAATCACTTGAACCACCACTAGGACCAGCATAATCCTTCCCAGAAGTTGCAAAAACCGGTTTAATTTCACTGCTTTCTGTTGAGAAACCTTTAAAAACTCCACCAAATCCCTCCTCTCTTGGATATATGGATGGTGTTTGAGCTTTAAATCTTGAGAAACCTGCAAAAACACATACAGATTAGAAAAACCATTAGTTGCAGCATAAAAAAGAAAATGTCAAAATGGAGCACACACCTGCTTCTCATAGTCTGTAAACCATTTATGTCAATTAATATTAAAAGGATCAAAGAAACGAAAAAAGGAAGCAAACAATAGCAGACTGAATTTCTTCAAACATAAGGGACAACCTCAAACAAAAAAGATTACATATTTGATCCATTTTCAATATCAGTCTTCCCCTTTCTTTTCAGGATCTACATCCATATTTCTTTTATATATATTCTGATTCTAATTTGTGGCAATTAAGGAAGAAGTTAAAAATAGAGAGAATCCAAACTGACCAATGAAATTGAAAAAAAAACACACACACACACACACAAAGAAGGCTGACAAATCAGAAGCTTTTTCTTTTCTGGAATCCATGCTCCATATTTCACATGTGAAATCCATGAAATGTACCCATTGGAATAAGAAGAGAAAGAAAAAAGTTGAAAACAAAGGTTTAAAACAACCCAATGAAGAAATTGACCATTGCCCAGAAAAGATAAAGTGGAGGCAGGATAATCTAATCACTAGCTAACTTCCGTAACTCATATCACACACATGCCAAAATGAACTAAATTCATTTGAATAAGATAAACAAGGAATGCTACAAAATTTAAGAAAAGGATCACAAACAAATTTCCACACCAAAGGAAAGACAAATTAAAGGCTATGTAACAGATAATGTAATAAGGACAAAAAGTTTAGGGTGAAACCACAATAGAGGGAGGGAGAGAAAGAGAGGATAAAATATATGAAAACAAAAGGACAAACAGCTCAAGGTAAAACCACGTCACATAGAACGAAAAAAAGAGACAAGTAGAGAGAGAGAGAGAGAGAGAGAGAGAGAGAGAGGTCTTGCATGCATGTTTTTATATTTATTGAAAAAGTGGGAGGAGGAATTTTCTGTACCTTCAGATTGACCCCACTTTTCCCAATCGGCATGTTCAAATGTTGTATTCAGTGCTTCTGCAAGATTGTAAATGCCAACCAAGAAAAGGTTAATCATTGACATAAAACCTTGGGAGTATATAGAAATGCAATCAGATGAAATATGCTACAAGCTTTTTACACCATTCTGGTTTGGGCCTCGTTTAGGTAGGATCTGGATCCAAACATGGGCCAAGAACAGCCCTACTGTTGCTCTAACAGAAGGTCCAGTAAAAGATCAAGAAACACAAAATCAACAAAATTACCTCCGATAATCTCAAGCTCCTTTCCACCTACAATGGTGTAGCCACCCAACAAAGTTTCAACCCTCTCATCTATATGATAATCTTCCAAACATTCTGCTATGACTGGAGACTGCCCCTTAACTGCCTCCTTTTGCAGCAGCATAGAACTGGATGTTTCCTGACATATTATTCCAGCATCGACTAACAAATTCCCTGGGGCTTCTGGAGGGCTAGCCGTCTGGGTCACAACATCTGAAACAATAGAGGGCAAGTTCAAAGGCACCAAGGGGGAAGCAGCATTTTCAACAGTTACCCACCTGTCACTGTCAGCATGCTTTATCAAATGATCAGAAAGGAGGACCCCTTCATCAACCAATCGTCTGAGATCAACTAATTTTGAGGGTCCTTGTTCTATACCACAATGATCAAGATAAAACCACTTTCCAGCATCAAAATCAGATGTTATAGGATCTCGTGGCGGGGTGTCTGATATATCCATATCCTCTTCCATTGATGGTTCTTCAATAACCCCTAAAGGGGGAGAAGGAGGAGGTGGAGGAGCAGGTAACAGAGGAGGCGGCGGAAGAACTGGTGGTGGAGGAGGTGGAGTCTCGCTGGAATGCCTACTTGAACTTTGGAACCGTTTTTCCTTATCAAGTCTGTCAATAGTGCTTCTGTCACAACTGCTCCTGCTTGGCTTATTCTTGAGAAAATCTTTTTCACTGTACTCCTTTCGTCCCAATCTCTCATCATGTCTGCTGGACTGCTGCTTTTCGCTACCTTGACTTTTCTTGTTTGATTCTCGGTGATCAGCAGAGTGCCGTTTGTCATGTGGTGACCGCTCCAAATGAGCTGGAGTTCGGTCTCGATGATCATGGTGACGAGCTCGTTGACGTGGAGACCTATTAAAGCGACTTGGGGTATGATCCCTGTGATCAGAGTGGTGACTCTTTTCATGTGGAGATCGCTCCAAGCGACGAGGACTACGGTCCCTGTGATCAGCATGGTGGCTGCGCTCCTTTGGTGACCGCTCAGAATGGCCTGGGCTGCGGCCTTGCCTATCATGGCTACCTCGAGAAGAGAAGGATGGATCGTCATACCTAGAAGATGAGTACCTGCTGGATGATGGAACCTTCGATGTCGAAGATGATTCATTTCTATGTGACCTCTCCGGGTTAGTGGAACGACCAATCTCTTCAGATTTCCGATGAGTTCTTGAGCCTGACTGATCAGACAAATCAAAATGGTGCTTGTGGTTGCTGCTCTCAGACTCTATAGCTTGCCATTTATGCCACCTTCCCACCTTGCCCTCCCTGTCCCTGCTCCTTCCGTTGCTATTATCATGCTTAATCTCACCAGGTTCAACTTCAGAAACTCGTAAGCTTTTCTTAGCATCCCTCTCATGCACATTGCCATCCAATCTCGAAGAAGAAGACCTCTTCCTATGGTCGGAATCACACGGGCGTCTATCATTTCTCCGGTGACTATCCTCCAGGGAGCTCTGCTGACTGTTCTTCAATGATCTCTCTGTGACGTCACCCTTCTCCGAGTCCACCCTTCTTCCCCTGGTTGACTGATTCTGCGACTTCTCCAAATCTTGCCATCTCTTCCATTTATCTGGCACAAACTCACCCCTTTCTAGTTCTCTTCTATTTCGTCTGTCTGAAATGATTTCTCCCTTCTCCGCTTCATCTCTCCTCCGTCTATCTCCAACCTCCACTTCACTTTTCCGCCATTTCTTTGGAGCTGATTCCCCCTTCTCGAATTCCCCATTTCGAAGCTCCCCCTTCTCCAGTTCTCCGTTGTGCAACTCTCCCTCCTCCAACTCCCCCTTCCGATGCCTCTCCAGCTCGCCCTTCTCCAGCTCCCCCTTCTTGGCCCTTCTATCCAGTTCCAGACCTATTTCGGCACCCAACTCATCTTCCCTCTTGACCTCATCCCCCCTCTCGCCATTCCTCGTCTTCTTCTCCGCCCCAAAGGGATTCGAAGCAAGCACGCCTTTGCCCCCACAGAGTGACTCCGGAATCGGGAACCTCTCCATGATATGCTGCGAGGGTGCGCACGCGACTCCCCCCTCTCCCATGGAACTCCACCCGGAACCCTAAATGGGGTCCAGAGCCAGACCCGCGCCGCCAAAACCCTATCTTTCCACCGTTCCAGGACTGTCGATGCTCATCTCGCGGTTCGCAGTGCCCTCGGCTCCCAGCTCCAAGAATGAAAACCTAAACACACAAGCAACATTAAATATTTTCAATACCCAAAGAATGATGACGAATCAAGAACCAAGATCGACACAGATGCAACGGATTCCAACACGCCGGCATGGCGAATCCAAAATTCCGCATCGGAAACCCCATAATTCGTGCGGAAGCAGAAAGAGGAGGAGGGAAGGGGGTCGCCGGGGGGCTCACCAGTCGGAGAGTCGATGGAGCGAAGTCGTCGATCCGGAGATCTACGGCGGAGGTGCCCGGAAGGGCCGATCCGAGGGGCTTCTCGCTCGATAACTCCCTTTGCCTGCCTTCTCTGGCTCGCCGTTACCTTCTTGGCTCGGCCGCTCTCGGTGAGTCGCTGGCTCGCTCGCTCCCTCGCGATGGGGGGGAGAAGACGGAGTGCGAATAATGTTAAACTAATCGCGTCCCGTTTCGTGCTCGCGTAGTTATTTACATGTGTAGAATATGGACTTTACGGTATACCATACGGCGTAGGCGGTAAGCGTACCATCTGCTTGTATCTCGAATATGGCACTCTAAGGTGCGGTCAACACGCAAGAAAACAAGAAAATAGTGCTTATATATATATATATATATATATCTCTTCAAAGGCCAAAAATTATATATATATATATAGATACATATATATCTTCAATGTTCTAAAATAACAGATTTGCCCCTCTAACATTTAATATGATATATAATATACCTCTTTCAAATATTTAAATTCTTTGTATATGTCAGTCGTGTGAGCATATGTTCAATAAACTCATGTTAATTAATTACTAT